CTCTCTCTCTCTCTCTCTCTCTCTCTCTCTCTCTCTCTCTCTCTCTCGCGTTGCGACATGGACGTGTGTTTAGGGTGGTCGATCGATGCGAGGAATGAATGACTGCATTTGTGATTGACGTTCATACAAGTAAAATATTAGAGAAATAATGACAACATGCCTTGCATGCATCAGCTCTCACAAAGCGTTTGGCCATGCACTCACAATACTTGCCCCGTCCGCCCGCGTGAATGTCCTCTTCCTCATCGTCTGTGGGGTGCAGTACAAATGACAACAACGGATACAAGATTGTGCAAAAGAGGATGGACAATGCATCTTGCAACTTCGTCTTTATCGGAGAGGGAGATGGCAGCACTAGCGCATATCATTCGCGAATACGGGAATAGGTACCCCGATGTCAACACACAAGATGCGCACAATAACGAAGTGTTGCAACTCACTCGCAGCGATTTTCTTTTTCTCACCGTCGAACAACAGTGGTTAAACGACAACGTGATCAACTTTTATCTCAACCTCGTAGCATTGGACAACTGCTGTAGAATACAACACGTAGAATGCGACGCTGATAATGAGATAGTCATTAGAGAAGGAAACGGTCGCATTCTCAGAGTATCAGTGCTGAGCTCGTTTTTTTTCGTCAAACTTTTCGATAATGACATGAGATATAGAGGCCGAGATATAGAACGCTGGTACCAGGATGTAATTATAAGTGACATGGATCTGATGTTTGCTCCTTTCCATATCGCACACCAGAACCAGTGGACCTTGGTCGTGGCTGACTTAAGGAGGAGGAAATTCGAATTTTACGACCCCCTCGACCCCGACAAGGAGTTTGCGTTAAAAGTGACCAGCGGGTTTGCAAAGTTTTTATTCGAAAGATCGAAAGTGCAAGGCAAAGAGGTGGACACGAGACCATTCAATCACATATGGAATGTAGAGGGCATTCCAAAGCAACATGACACAAACGAATGTGGGGTCTTTGTACTCACGTACGCGTCACTTTTGGCATGGGGCCAACTTCCGCCTTTCTGTTTCACCGCAGATGACATACCCACGATACGTCGCCGGATGGCATTGGACCTAGTGGCTCGTGAGTAGTGCGTATGTGATATTCTATAGTATGATTGCGAAGGGGGCGGACGTGGTTGGCACGAGATGGCGCTTGACAAAAAACAATGTATATAAGGTGTTAATTATTCCTCCGTGCACTGTGTCACTTGCCCTTTCATGGTACCTTACACCTTACACCTTACCCCATACACCTTACACCTTACCCCCCTACACCTTACACCTTACCCCTTACACCTTACCCCTTATACCTTACCCTTTTTCCCTCACACCAGAACGCCCATTTGTAATGGTTTTTGCACTTCAATCATCTCAAAAATGACAATTTCAATTTCGTTCAAAAAATATAAAATGTCTGTTTTGACGAAATCGCCGTTAAAGGCCCTTGCCCTTTTTAAAAGGGAAAAAAACAGAGAATGCGGATAGACCAAGTTCTTTGCATTGGTATTTTTAAGGTTTGTGTTGTCTAGTGAACAGCCCCCAAGCAGAGTCACAGGCATATCCGGTGAATAAAGAGCTTTCCAGAGAATGTTGATAGCTCAAGTTGTTTGGGTTGGCATCAGGTTTAGGTTTGCATCTTCTGTTGAATGGCATCAGATTTGGGTTTGCGTCTTCTGGTGAACGGTCCACATGCTGAGTCAAAGACATACGCGGTGAATGAAGAGCCTGCTGGAAAGGGAGGTGACGAAGAAATGTAGGTCCAGTATGATATACATGTTGATGGATCATGTCGATATCACACTTCGATGGATGGACGAATGCCTTCTGCATTTTGTGGGTAGAAGCATACAATAGAAGTTGTTCATTGCTGAGGAACGATGTTTGCCCCAAACCGGTGCAGCCAACCATTAATTGTGTTCGGGTTGGCTGTGTCTTGGCAAGGAGATGGCGTTTGGGAGCGGTACCATCTTCCCTTGAAAACAGTGCCCCCTCATTTTGGCTCCACTGGACCGGAAAGATAGCTTATATATGTGTGTTCAGGAGGAAGACGGTAGTTTAGTAGGGGGGGTAGGGGTTGATTTACTTTACTCTAAAGATGACTTTTTTTCTCTCTCTTCTTTTTTAGGATGAAAGTCGGGTTGGCCTAATTTGGACATTGGGTCCATTCATTGCTTACCCTATTCTTGAGATGACTTATTTGCAGATTGGGTCCATTTGTTGGGGAGGCTATTCTCAAGATGCCTAATTTGGAAATTGGTATCGCATCCTGTGCATCAAGTGATGCTGTTTCCGGAGAGGTTTGCCTTCGGCCTATCTGAGACTGGCTGGTTGTCTATCTTTCTGTCCTTCCAGCTGCAGTTTGTGACAGACGAACCAGGAATCCGACTGGTGCTGGATGTGGATGGGGATGTTAATTAGAGACAGAGTTACATATCAGTCTGTGTCAGGCTTTTTCGCATCTTCAATTTGCGGGGGCGATGAAAGTTCTTTCTCTGGTTGTTTCTTTTTCCCGTTGTTCTTCGAACTTGAATATATGGAATGTCTTTCAGGGCATCCGTTAAAATCGAAAAGATCAAGAGAGATTAGCATGGCCCCTGCACAAATTGGAGCGATACAGAGAAGATTAGCATGACTCCTGCACAGGGATGAGACTATTTCTCAATTTATGCGAAATTCAGTTTTGTAAAGAAAAAAAAAAAAAAAAAAACAATTTATGTGTGTCATCCTTGTGCAGTGGCGATGCTAATCGTCATTCTCTGTATCGATCCGGTTTTAATGGATGTGCTGGAGGACGGAGTTTAACTTTCACCAAAAAAGCTCCATCCTCCAGGACATCCGTTAAAAATGGATCGATCGAGAGAACGCAGATCAGAATGGCCCCTACGCAAGGATGACACACAAGCTGCTGTGTTCGCTGCATGGTGTGGCCATGTTGTTGGTGTTGCCTTGCGCTTTGTTACTCCACTGCCTTGCTGCCTATCCTATGGTCATGCCCTTAGCATCCTTCCTCCTCCTACGTGTGTGGCTCACGTGTTGGTGTTGCCTCGTGTTCGGTTGCGCGTCCGCTTGCCATGTGCTCCTTGCAGTAGTCTTCGGCATTGAACAGCCGATGTTGCCTCTGCAGAGTTGCCTGGTGCTTTGCTGGGTTGCAGCCCGCTGCTGTGTTCTGTTTAGGGACAGTCTGCCTTCAACAAGGGTCAAAGGGTGCATGACCCAAACCATCAATACAGGCATCCGCAGATTGTTGAGGGTTCAGCCTCCTGATAAGTCGGTGCAACTCCGATGAAATAATCTATCATCAGTTTAGCAATTGCTTTTTAGGAAAATTTTCGAAATGCCCCTGAAGTTTGCGTTTATTTGCAGCGTGCTGCTCTGACGATGAATGATGTTTCCAGAAAAACCCTGGCATCGTTTGGGCCTCAAACATGTTTCATATGCCCCTACCAGTACCGGTGCCAAATTTTCAGTATGCCCCTACCGGCTGCCTGTTGAGAACCAGCAGAAACGTTTCCCATATGCCCTTACCGGTACCGTCCATCTTTCCAGCAAGCCCCTGTCATAGTTGTTGACACTCGCAGTCCATACGAGGGAAGAGGAGGGAAGAGGGGGGAAGAGGAGTAGGAAGGACAAGGATTATGACGAAGATGGGCAAGGGAGGAACAATGGAAGAGGAGGGAAGAGGAGTAGGGAGGACATTCGATTCGTCATAATATACCACCTGTCCAACAAACAAGTAAACGAAAAGATGACGACAACTCACACACACACAACACACACACACACACACACACGCACACGCACGCACGCACGCACGCACGCACGCACGCACGCACACACACACACACACACACACACACACACACACAGACGCGCGCGCGTGCACGGGCGATGACGCCAAGAAGACGGCCATGCTGATGGTTAGGAGGTCGATAATCGAGGAGGAGGAGAGGGAGGGGTGACGAGGAGAAAGTTGGAGGAGGGAGAACGAGGGAAGAGGAGGGAAGAGGAGTAGGGAGGACAAGGACTACAACGATGGACGAGGAGAAAGGATGGAGGCTGGAGAAGAAGAGAGGAGAGCGACGAGCATGGATGGAGGCGGAGGGAGGGGGGCGATGAGCATGGGTGGAGGAGGATGGAGCAGCGATCCATGGCGCGGCGAACGTGAAGACTGACTGCTGCACCATTTTTCCGTGCTGGCGGGKGAAATACCTACCATTTTCGAGTTCGAATTCCTGCCGCCACTGCTGCAAGGGCATCACAGAAAGATGTGTGCCCCTTGTGAGGGCATTTCAAGGACGGACCGACGAAATGCCACCAGCGGTCCAGTAAGGGCATATTGGAAAGTTACGCCCCATGCTGACAGGGGCCTGCAGAAAATTTCAGAGGCCCAAGGGGCATAGCACGGTAAGTGGGCCTTCACAGGGGCACACCGCAAAGAAACGCAAACTTCAGGGGCATTTCGAAAAATTTTCCTTACTTTTTTTGGTCTGTGCACTTTTTGGGACACATTTTTTTTTCTGGATCTTCTATTTTGCGTGCTGTCCCCTGCCCTCCCGCCTCCCCCATGCCCTCCAACCTTTGTCCTTCGCTGCTGCCGGTCATTCTATGCCTTGTTGGTTGTCTTGTGTGGTTCCTTTTCGCTTTAAATTTTGTTTGTCTGCTCACCCACCTCTGTCGTGCTCTTCAGCCAATGTCACTTGCTGCTGCTACTCGCCCAATGCCTTCGTTTTCTCATTCGTTTTCTCATGTCTTTCGCTTCATTGTCAATCGTTTGCCTCTTCCTTCACTGCCTCATCCTGCTCGTCTGTTCTATTTATGCTAGTGCTGCAGTCCATTTGGATGTAGTACTCAAAGAATTGTCTTTGGACTGGACTCACTCAGCTGGCATTGCGTAATTCTCTCTCCTGAGGTGTTGTGGTGGTATGGTGCATGGTCCTTTACCATGCTGAAGCTAACTTACATATGACATTGTGTCCACATACATCATCACACACACACACACACACACACACACACACACACACACACACACACACACACACACACCAGGCGAGGACTATGGTGGAGCGAGCCGAGATCCTGGAAATGACAGCGCTTCTATTTTTTCACGCTTATTGCCTTTCTGACCTTTGTAGCTTTCACTTTTTCTTCTATCCTCTTCCCTCGTTTTCTTTCCGTCTACTCCCTTCACCCCAATCAGGCTGCAGGCTCCCTGATGAATCGCCACCGCGACGTTGCAAACAATGAAAAGTAGTTCGTCAATTTGGGTGTCTCCAACCACGCTTAGGGGAACACCAGCCCCTGCTGCGTTACAGTTGGCTTTTGGGGAATGATTCTGGAACAAATGACAATGATACTGACAAGTTTTATGAAAAACGTTTTTTGTGTAAATTAGTCTGTCGACGGATATGGATGATTGGGTGTCTCGGCAATCGAAGACTTACTTCAAAGAACATTGCTCAGTTCATGCTCATCAACACAGTTACACAGCTGCCACACATAAAGTCAAACATATAAGCAGACCTTAGACAAGAGGCCAGGATTGAGGTTATAACGCCGCCCCCYCCCSCCCCCCCCCCAAAAAAAAAAGAAAAAAAAAAGGTTATAAGTCCCCCCCTTCTCGTCACTCATGTCAACTACTTCACCCACATTGGTCCCACAAATCACGTACGTTATCATTGTTTGTCATAGTACATGATACTCATTCTCAATCAACACGAACTTGAAGAAACAACTAGTACCTGAAATGTTGGATGGAATTCAATTCCGAACTCAACACCGTCCATCATGTCCTTGTCTATCCTTTAGCTTCTACCACACACACAAATCTTCATGATACAATTTGTCGGTCACACCTAAGGCTTGCCGTCCGCTCATGCCGACTTGAAGATTAGTCTATGGTCCCACACGCACTCATGTCCTCCTTTAGGTGCGACCTACACAACTATTTAACCCTCCTGAGCATAGATATCCTACATAGCTCAGGATCAGCGCAGGTGAAAGGGACTCTCTCTCTCTCTCTCTCTCTCTCTCTCTCTCTCTCTCTCTCTCTCTCTCTCTCTCTCTCTCTCTCTCTCTCTCTCTCTCTCTCTCNCTCTCTCTCTCTCTCTCTCTCTCTCTCTCTCTCTCTCTCTCTCTCTCTCTCTCTCTCTCTCTCTCTCTCTCTCTCTCTCTCTCTCTGTGGCAAGCAGTTTTTCAACTTTTTGTCTTTGCAATGAACCTTCAGACACAGGTCAGGTCATTGCATGTCAGTGAATCACAATATGCCCACATGTCAAACTGAAAACACCTTCCACAAAAGATCGCAACGTAATGACGGTCACCTCCTCTTGCTACATCTGTTCCTCTTTTTTTTTTTTTAACATTAGAGCAACCTATCCTGTTCTTCTCGCTTCAGGCTGAGCTCGCAGAGACGCAGAGGCTGTGGGTTCTTACTGGTAGGTGCATCCTGCACCACATAGATTTATCCTCACATTTTATTGGAAGATTTGCGATTCGATTAAAATGCACTGATTGCGGTTCCATAGAGGTGTATGGGTATAGAAATAGGGAAATCAGGAACACTACTGACTGAGGATTGGGCAATGAACAACGGAAAAGGGATTCGAAGTCCAAGAGAAAAATGAACACAGTGATGGATCATGCAGAGTTGTAGACAGTGTCACCCACTTCGCGACCCAAACAACAAACTCTCAGACTCTGAGAGGAAGAAGAACTTCAAGACGCAACGCACTGTCTGTGGGCATCTTGCACGAATCGTCGCCTATCTTGTGCAGGTAAAGTTTCATTAGGAACACTGACCTTAGTATACAAGCCACCCTGACAACAGCAGCTCAGAGGAAGAAGAAGAAGAAGGGGCAAACCGCGCTGTAGGCGCCTTGCGCAGAACCTTAGCAGCTGTCTTGTGCACGGCCTGGAGGCACAGTTTCATTGGGAACGCTGAGGTACTCCTGTCTTCACCCGAATAGAACGCCGGTCATTATCCCTGCATCTGGACCAAAAGTTGTGCCAAATACAGCTTTAATTACCGGGCATTCTATTCGGGTAAAGATGGTAGTATACATACCACCCTGACAGCAGCATCTCAGAGGAAGAAGAAGAAGAAGAAGAAGAAGAAGAAGAAGAAGCAACTGTGCTGTGTTGGCGTCCTGCGCACATCTTTAGCTATGATCATGTGCCGGCAAGGTTTCATTCCCAACTGTTACACCGACTTATAGTACATTGCCGTGGCAGTAACTGGACGATGCGTATGACCAAGTCCTGCGGTAGATTCTGCCAAATTGTGCCCTTGAGGATTCGTCTAAAGTGGTTGCATTGGAAATCCACCACATCTTTCTGCAAAGATGGTTGAAGGCGGTACTCAGCCACAACTTCGTCGAACCCTTCGTCGTCCTTGCGCGCTTGACGACACACCGGCCCCAAGTTAGCAGCGATGGGAATCACATGTTCAAACTCTGAATGGGTAGAATAGACGATGCAGTTACGACGGCAGAACGAGGCTCTCTTAAGGTCTTTCACAGATTTCAACTGTTCAGGAGTGAGTTCAGAAAGCAGTGTCCTACTCGGAGCATGGCCGTGCTCGGAAAAGCTTACATCGAACACTTCTTGCGGAGGCAATTCATCACAGCGACATACTCGGTTCGGGAGCGTAAGGATGTCTCCATGAGGCTTGTAACGTTGCTCAACAGCCTCCATGGATTTCGATCGAACTTCCGTTCGATGACTCCAGCGGAAGGCCCCGCCTTCAGCTAGATTGATGGCATCTGCAATCAGGGCTCCAGTTTCCCGATCCATTACGTCAGCGCACCAAGGCTCCTCCTCCAACAACAACATTCGCAGAGGGAAATGCTGACCATCCAAGCCAACGAGATCGAAATCGATCTGGTGTAGAATCATGAAAAGACACCATGATAACTTGCTGTCGCCATAAGTGGCTCCCCGCATCCGTCTGCCATAGCCGTACAGTCTCCTGACAATATCATTATCACTCTCACGTCTCAAGTCCATTCCGCAACGAGCAAAACAAATCTCCAGCATCTCTGAAGTATGGTTCTGAATGAGGAAGTGGTGCAAGCCCTCATAGAAATCTGAGGGTTGCAGTTCGTCCTCCAACTGGAAAGGAACATCATTGGGGTCTTCAACCCATGGCATACCTGTCTGCTCGCAAAAGTCGTGAAACAGGTTGTCCGTATACTCTTTGAAAAACTCAAGAGCATGCTTGACGAATGTGTGGCAATCCAATTCGCCAGCTCCCCAGTGCTTCAGCCGATCAGCTAAGCATTCCGCATGGTCCTGGTGAACAGCGCCATCATCATATGGCTTCATTTTGAGGACGAGGAAGTCGAAGCACATTCGACTTAGATAAGTGGTGTCTAGAGAAGCGACCTGCAGCGGAACAATGTGATACTTCTCAAATACGCTCCCCTGAAAGGCCGTGCGAAAGTCGAGCACCGTAATATTTTCCATACCATCCATGCTCGCCATTTCCTTCTCCCTTTCTCCTTCTTGTCGTCGCGTTTGTGGCAATTGTAATTATTCAAAATCGAAGAAATACAAAAGGATGGCGCAACTGCACAAGGATAACAGGGAGAAGAAGAAAAAACAAAGCAACAGAACTTGTCAGCATGGTAAACATGAAAAAAAATAATAATAATAATAATTATATATTACACATGAAATTAAAAAAAAGAAAATAGAATATAGGAAAATGGAATAAAAATAATATGTAGTATGATATACAATTGTAGCGGACCCACCAGGCGTGGTGCTCCGCTAGTGACAGAGATGGAGATGGAGGAAGAAGGGGGAGCAAGATGGCACAACGCAGCTCCCCACGCAAGACTCCAACGCACGTACTCCAAAATGTGCAAGTGAGGAAAATCCCCTGAAAACAGACAATGGCTGGGGTATACCCCAGCGGACTGA